AGTCTGCAATTCTAAAGAAGGCACTTTGTGGATTATTATGGATTTTTCGAAATAAGTAAGTTTGTGGTTTAATTATTTTAATTGAAAATTGGTTTATTTGATCATTTTATATCATTCAAGAAATTATTTAATTAATTATGGCTATTCTTTGGAGTCTCATTATTGCCAAGCTATTCTGAATAGCTTTAGCTAAAGTTTTTCAGGAAGTCTTGCATTCAATCATGACTTCGAACATTAAATGTTAGGTTTAATTCAATATTCATTCCAATCTGTATGGTTTGTTTGCTAAGCAACTCCAGACACTCTTACACATTAAACACAATCTAAGCTCCAGCTTTAAAAATCCCCGAGAAATCAAAAATGTTTTTCTCTTTAACAGGCTCGTCAGACTTCTTCTTTGTAATAAAAACAAAACTCTTTTCATTCTTCTTTTGATGAATTGCAGTCATGGATGAAAAGTTTATAAACGAGCGTAAAATTTTTTCATAGCAGCATAAAAAGGAAATTCAAAGAAGACGAAAAAGCTTCCGCTGTTCAAGTTTTGAATGTGTATGTATCATACATGTATGTGGCATGAATGCCTTAAAGATTGTAAAATTATTATTATCCCTTCTGCTATTTTGTTATTGCTGGCTTTCCTATTTTGTAGGCTCTTAAAACAAACTTTAAGCTTCTTTGTTAATATGAATGAGGCATAAACAGAAGCAGCAGTAGCAACATTGGGTCATATATTCTATTTTTATTATTCTAAGATGCAATAAGACAGCAGAAAAAAATCTGGAAAAATTTATAACATTAGGGATGCTGGATGAATGGAGGGGCAGCACATAAAATTTATTTTATCATTTTATGCTAATGGGCTCGTTCACTTATTACGTAACGCAAAAAAACGAGTTTTTAGACCCCCCCTCCCCCCCTGGTGCGTTACGTAATAAGTGAACGAACCCAATCATGTTTATGTCTTATCATTATTTACGTCTTGAAAAAGATTATGGTTGTTGTTGTTCTTATGATTATCAACATTACTAATACTGTTATTGCTTTTACGACGCGGATGTCTTTTGTCCTGGATGTTATAAGGGGGGATTGTAGAGATTCTTTGGTGATTTTATAAGAACCAACTTATTAGATCATATCTATTGAATAAAGTAAGGTAAAAAATCAAAATTGGATGATTAGGTCAGCTAATCCTAATTCTTAGGGCTATGAACTAGATGTACGACATGGCTAGGAATTCAAGCTTTCTTCCATAAACCTTCAAAGTTCTCCCTTCTACTTCTGACAATCCAAAACCAAGGATTCAAGCCCAAAAACAATTGTCCTCAAGCATATTCCCCTAATTGAGCATAACTGTACAATCTAAAAAATTTTAATCCAGCAATTTATATTTTTATTCTTCTCAGAACTCAGATGATAAAGAATTTTTTTATGCCTCAAGAAGTGCTCAATAAAATTACTCAGCTTTAAATTCCATTCAAATAAGGCGTCTGTAAAGCCTGATAAATGGCAAGAGACCTTAACTTCTTTACTGTGTGACTTTTCCTCTCTTCCTTTGTAATATTTACTTTCTTCAGTGCTTGATGTTTTACATTATGTAAAGCCACTTCTTTGCCGTACAGCACGAACAAGTGGATGAAAAAATCAATAAAAAATCATGCGACCTTGTGAAACTGTCGATTTATGTAGACGACTGACCTTCGTCAAAATCATAGATTTAAGGAACTTCCCTCGACAGCTTTTTTCCCTACTCTATCCGCAGTTGAAATAGGAATGAAAATGGTAAGTTTAATGAAGAAGAAGCGATATGAAAATTTATTTGTTATGGACCAAAGTTTAAGGAAACTTTTGTGACATTTGAGAAGGAGAATTTGCTGAGATATTTTATGCAAAAGAAGTTGAACAGGTGTTCTGAGATTTGACATGAAGAATGTGGAATTAATTTCAGTTTGTTTGAGATTTTTTGGGGTACATTAAGCAATTTTTGATCTGAATTTCCATCGATTAATTTCAATCGAACGACCTACAACCTTAGAATGGTTTGAAGGTTGCCAGACTTTTATCTAAACCCACATTCGTTCACTAAAATGAGTAAGAAACCTACACAATACCTAATCAGTTTTGTGACTTGACATTTTGTTCATTGAAACTGTTATAAATGCAAGACATCAGCTTCAGTTTTGAAGGTCAACAAAACGAAGTTTTCGTGAAAAGGCACAGCGAGGTATTTCAATTTCCTTTGAAGAATATCGTCATGAATATAAATTAATTCATTTATAAATTAAAATGAAAAGCTTCAACATAAAAAGTCACAAAAGGATCTTCTTTTCATGCTGTACACTGCTATATAAAGAAGAAGAGACTACATTAAAAATTAATTTGTGTGAAAAAATGGAAAGCGAACATAAATTCATATTAATTAAAATGATATAAATGTATGAGAGCTTAAATATGTGTTCTGCACATTCAATGAGACACAAGTTTGCATTCATTAAATTGCATTTACTTCTCTTGGGAGAAATACAAGCTTGTTGGTAAAAAATGAATTTATTTGAATAGTTTTGCATCTTTTACTGGATTAAATGTAAATTGAGGAATTTGCTGTTTTTGACAGAAAAATTATGAATTTGGTGCTGTAAAGTAGATGTTTTTAAAGGTTTTCAAGATCCAGTTGAAGTTTTCATTTTTATAAACATCAAATTAACAATTCTAGCATATTGAATCAGCAATAGATTAAATTAAACCCAAATAAACGTAAAGTTAAGTTCCTAGTGGTTAGACTAGCTGTTTCAACTGTTTCAAGTATTCAATCTGTTCTGTCTGGGATTTTTAATATTTTTCCAGGGCACACCAAAGGATGTCCTACTGCACACAGTTTGGACAACACTGGTCTAAGTAGTACCTGATGAAAAAAAAAGAAAATTTGCAGATCTGGACAGAAAGATCATGCTTTGGTTTGCAACTTATCCTTCATAATTTCCATTCTCAAACTCGATCACACTGTTCGTACCTTCAAAAAACTCCAAGTATAATTATTTCTCATGTGCAAAGCCTGAAATAAGTTTAAGTCTAGTCTGAAACCCAGAATCCCACATCTAGCTACACTTTAACTCATACTTGTCATCACTTCCTCTTATCCAAGACAGCACAAAAAGCGTTAAGCTTATTAAGACATTATAAATAAACTCATTCCTAAGCAAAGCATAAAAAATAATTCTTTCGCACGTAAAGCCATAAAGCATGCTACAAATGTTGAAATATGAGAATTAAAAGTAGAAAAAATCCCAAAGCGAGAATTGCATTTGCTTTGCAAAATTTAATGTTTAATTCTATTCTTTTATATTCCTCTAGAAATGTACTGTTATTGTTATTAACTAGACCATGAAAAAGTACTCTGGGTACGTAAATGGAGGTATGTTTTATGCATTTTAATTATTTATCTTCATTCACACTAGCAATAGCACAAAAAACTGAAATTAAGTGGAGGAAAAATGAAATTGTTTGGTATCAAAAGTTGGGTTGTTTGCCTTTTTTTGTACAGGAAGCTAGTTAAAAGCTGCCAACAATCCATGCGAGATGTGAATGAAAATTTGTTGCAGTTTTGTGCATAATTGAATTCAATTGGGAAGTTTTCAGGGAATTTCTTGGAAATTAATGGCATCAAAAAGCTATTATGGCTTGTCTGGAATGGTAATAGCTTTGTAGGATATTAAAGTGTAAGTAAGCTTTGTAATTTCTTTCGTGAGACTCGTTGATGACTTAACACTTTCTATTGAATGTCTTTGCAATCACACAAAAGCTTTTGACTCGATCAAGTATATATGTAATCTTGCACTTAGAAGATGTAGGAACACAGATACAGGACTTAACCAGTAATTTTTCGAAAAAAATTGAATTTGAAATTTCCGTTACAATTATTTGTTTACATTTTGCATTTAAATTACTTCTTGAAAAAAGAATCTTCATGGGAACTTTCAGTAGAAGTTCAATGTTTTTTAATGTGTCTAGAATTAATTTATAGGCTATTAAATTGTCTTATTTCATGTTCTGATCCTTCATTTAATCAACAATTTATTGATACAGTAATTGCCCAGGTTGAAGTAGTTTTTGAACATTGTGAAGAAACGATTGATAAACTATTAAAAGCTTTTGTTAAATTTAGAGCAAAATTTCAGTATCTGTGTTGATTAATACATAAAAGAAACAATTTTGCATCAAAAAACAATTGAAATAAATTTGTTTCTTAATTAAGTCGTTAACGTATTTTTATTTTTCAAAATTTCATATTTTCGAATTTTTTCGAATTTTTTTTGAATTTTTCGAAATTAACCAAAATTAACTGACATTTTCTTTGTTCGCACTCATTGGGGATTTATAAATCCAAAGCCTCACTCCCGTTCAGATAGACATACGATTGATTTTTATAAGGCATTAACAATACCCGAGTTAAGGATTATCTAAAGCCACAGACTGAACATTTCTGCATCATTCATTACTCCATATCAATTCATCCAACAATCATCTCCTCAAAAATTTAATTTCCACATCCATAATCCCACAACTGCATCCAACTAATTTCAAAACTCAAACACAGAATGTCCTTTCTTGCCAGAAATTAATAAACTTTTTTATCCCATAGTAATCCACGACGATAGATGCTGCAAATTCACATCACAAAAATTCCCAAATGAGAATCCCTTCCAGTCATTTGCAGCATTCTTTTAATTTGCTATCTCCCAAAAGCAAGCCATTGTGAGATATTCTTTTAATTGCACATCTTCAGGAAAAATACAAAACTTTATTTTTTGTTCCAAATGCAGCACAAATGTCAACAATTGCTCACAGCAATTATAACAGTTGCAAGAAAATGAGAAGCTCTTGTGGGAACATTAATAAAATTGCAGAAGTATTTACAGCTTAAGAATTCATCAAGCATCATTGTCAGCTATGGAATTGAATTATTCGTAGCTGCTTACATCCATGAGAATATAAACTATATTTTTTGTGTAGCTTACATTCTAATAGTAATTAAGATGACGATTTATTGTGCATGTAAATAAAATATACAGAAATGGATACAATTTTTAATGCTATATGCTAAGAAAGTCGATCACTTTTTAAACAAAATCAAAACTTTTTTGCAGTAAATTAATAGTAACAAGGCAAAGGACAGGGAAAGGGGGGGCTTAAAGATCATTATTTTACAATACCTTAATAATTAAACGACCCAAAAAATTAAGTTTCTAAATATTTTGTGGATTATTCTCTTGGTCCTCAACATTCATTAAACGTTCCGACATTTTTGATTGTGGTGTGTCTATTGCTGTTTGATCCATAATAGCTGTTGAGTTATATACTTCCTTACCAGAGAAATTTGATACCTCATCCTCCTGTGAAATTATTAAAAATGTCTGAATTAGAAATTTTAATCTTAAGATTAAAAGTCGGATTAAGTTAAATCTTGAGATTTAAGTTCGAATTAGCTTAAATCCTAAGATCAAAATTTTAATCCAACGATTTTAAATTCACAATCACATTTAAACTTACCTCAAGAATCGACGAGTCCTGCAATGTAGAATCCGACAATCCTTGTTCAAGCCGCAAACGCTTAATGATTCGATCATGCGGAGATGTTGTATTTATTTGACGATTAAACTTGTAATCCTTTCGTGCTGGTGTTTCACCGGTTGGAACATAAGCACAAACGTCTGCATTCTTAAATTCCTGAATATCTTCTGTCGTCTGCCTGATGTTCATTAACAAATTATTTTCAGCTTCCTGCACAACCAAATGTAAATTATGCTGAACAACTGACTTAATTTCCCTCAATTTAGATTTCGAGCTTAACATGTCTTCACGGACAGCCTTAATTAAATCATCTTGCTTACTGCTCAAGTCATATTGCATGACATTTTGATGATCTTGGAAAGCTGTTTTGAATTTATCGATATTTTCAGTTTGTGATTCTAATGTCATTTTGAGATTTGTGTCATTATCTTTGACAATTTCAGCAGTTCCTTTAACTTCAGCCAACAACTTTTCATGATTTTTATCGATAATGCAATTTTTATCATCCATAAACTCCTTACTTGATTTTGTGACAGTTTGATATGATTCAATAAAGCCTTTTGTTGCTGTTATTCCATTGCCTTTAATATCATCATGAATGTCACTTAATTTGACATCAAGAATGTCGTCATCCTTTTCATAGCTCTTAATTTCAGCAAGAAGCTTCTCAATTTCATTAATTTTTGACTTTTGGGCTGTATTTTTGGTTCTCATTGACGACTTTACAGCATCAAGTTCCTCACAATAATGATTTAATTTAAGTTGCAAGTAATTTGTGTAATCATTAGTCAGCTTCTGCTGCTCATTCAACTTTTCAAGCACAAAATTTGATATTTTCGTTTCTTCATTTTTTCGCTCGTTCAACAGCATCAAAATTTGATTAATCTTGTCGCCGACGGTATCAAAAAATTTCTCTTCTCTTTCTTTTGTGGATTTGAAATATGCAGCAAATGATTGGAAATCCGCATTACTTCCATCCTGGCTGTACATCCACTTTTCGAACATCCCATAAAATTCATTTTGGAAGCTTTTTTGTGTGCTGCTTATTTCCTTTAAGGAATCAACAAAGTTATCTGTGTATTTTGCATTCGATTCCATTTGTGCATTTAAATCAGCCACAATAATATCTCGATTTTCTTTGTGGTGTCCTTCTAACTGCTGAATTTCATCTTGCATGGATGATAAGCGATTTGTGATGGTATTCATCACATTATCTATAGTTTTTGCTGCATTTTCTTCCTTTTCTTTTCGTCGACGGATATTTTCGAGCAATGATTTTGTATCGTCTGATGCCTCATCGGCAATTTTCATTATTTCTTTTGTCTGTTCTGTCAATTTCTGCTCAGTTTCTTCCTGGACAGCTATTATGTGCTTAGCTTCCGTGTAATTTCGTTCAGTTTTTCGCAAATTTCTTTTAGTTTTTGTCAATTCTGATTCAGCTAGTTTATACTTTCCTTCTGTCATCACTAATTGTTCTGCAGTAACTGCCAAATTCTGTTTTGTTTCTTCAAAAAGCTTCATTTTTGAATTTAATTCTTCTTTTGTTTTTGTAAATGCAGCCATAATCTCACCCAATTCCTTCTCAGTATTTTCCATTTTATAGACCATGTCATTGTACGAATCCGTTGGCAAATAAATTCCATTTTTCTCACGAGCAGCCAGCAAATCTCGCTTTAATTTATCGATTTCTTCTGTATATTCTTTCAAAATGACTTTCTTTGTCAATCTCTGATTGATTTCTGGCTTATTTTGAATATTCTTAGCACGATGAGCATAATCGAGTGTACTTAATGTCTCTTCAAGATCCTTATGGCCACAAGATATCGTTGCAATAATTGACGTCTTTGTTCGTCCACCAAGACTTTCCTGTAACAATCTTGTCAGCTTTGATTCACGATATGGAACGTGTGGAGCTCTCTCAACTAATGCAGTAATGACACGACCGAGAGTTAAAAGTGATTGATTAATATTAACTGACTCTCGTGTTCGGATTCCTTTCTCATTTCCAGCTTTTGATATATTTTCACTTCCAGCCAAGTCAACAAGATTAAGCTTTCCAATTTTAAGCATCTCTTCACCATCTGGTCCACATTCCTTAATATGTACGAGAATTGAAAATACTGTATGAGATCGAGAACTTTGAGCATTCATTAATGTTGCTGCTGTTTTTCTTCTTTCCTGTCCTTTTGCGAGTAGTTTATAGACATCATCTTTACATCTGACAGGAATTTCTTCCAGTCCTTGAACAATAACGGATCCTTTCTTATTGGCATCATCAAATAATCTAATTTTAACATTGTCATCTGTTGACAATAAATCGCAAAGTTCTTCATTATAAAGCTCCAAATATGATACTCGCATTGCAAATTCACTTTTATCGACTCTCAGTTTGTCAAATAGATGAGAAAGAGCTCTGGGAATCATTCCGACATTGCTGACATCGTCATATTGTGACGACAGAAGTGATTGTTCTTCCCCAACCATCGTGTACGTTTTGCCAGTTCCAGTCTGTATGGAATTAATGATGATTAGTATATACAGGATCAGAAAGCTTAGGATTTATTACCTGTCCATAAGCAAATACAGTACAATTATATCCATCAGTAACTTCCTGAATTAACGGTGCAACAACTGTTTGATAAACTTCATGCTACATGGAATTAAGATTAGAACAATTAGTAATTGAACATTAAATTGATTCCTCTGGATGTTGTTGGTTTGCTTCCAAGAATCACGGTTAATAAAGATCCAGAAAAGAAACAAACATCCAGAGAATAGTGCGCTTACTTGCTGTGAGTTCATTCCAAAGGCACGATCAAAGGAAAACTTTTTGGTTGCCCGTGAATCGTGTATCTGCTTTACAGTTACATCTTTTACGCCTGTAACTTCAACAATTTCGTTGGATCTAATCAATCTTTCACGTGCATTTGTAGGCCTTTTAAAAAAATCGACATTAATTCCTAGAAAATGTATGTTTTAAAGCAAATTAACTTACCGCACTCGAACGAATACTTGAATATTTTGATTTGCTCGTGGTTTCTGTAGAGATTCGTTTGTTGCTGCCATTCCTGTCTATTTATTTCACTTAATTAAGGTTTTTGTGATGTTTTTAATATTTTTACCGTTTATTCTAAAGTTTTTAAAAGTTTCCGTTAAAAAGTAAACTTAACGTGTTTTGACATAACAACAATTGCATAGATCATTTTTACAAAACCGAAACTTTTGAATTTTCTTCGACTGTTATTTTTTGGATCTTAATGAAGCCTCTGTGGCTTGTGGGTACAACATATTTAATTAATATATTACCCAGTAGTGTAAAATTAGATCATCTATCTATTTTATATGCTTTAATATTCATTTAATTATTTAAAAGTGAACAATTCTTGTAAAAACAATTTGCATGTAAAATGTTTGTATGTATTTGTTTCAATATTTGTCGATGTGTTTGTGAAATCGAAAAAAAAAGCGAAAATTTTTTCACAAAAATAATTTTAATTAATTTAACTAGTTTCCAGTGTATTTAAAGTGATAAAAATACAACATTAACATCCATTAGCTATGGATCCAACAAGTCCAACTGGTATTAAGTGCAAATATTCAACATATGAGTGTAATTCGACAGCAGAAAAAAATTTCGGATTTTGTTTGAAGCACATTCTTAAAGATCAGTCAACAAAAGCATCAAAAGAGTACACAAACTGCAGTTTTATATCATCCAATGGTAATTCATGTACAAATGCACGACAAATAGATACAACAACACCTTACTGCTATGAACATTCGAGGATGAATCAAATTAATAAAATGAAAGCATCAATTGGACGGAAAAAGCAGCTAGACTCGTCGGAAATCATTGTAAGCAATTTAAGTCATTACCTACAAAATGAGAAATCAAAGCCACAGTCAACAACAAAGATTGGCGAGGATGATGAAATAGCTGAAGAGATTTCTGTAACATCAAATGTTGATCCATTCTTTGAAATAAATGCAAATGAGATAAATGGACGTGGAAGGAAGATATTAGATTATGCATCCGACGATAGTCCTGAAGAGGACTCTGAATTCTCAGATACACCATTAACAACATTAGCAAATACGTGGTTTAATGAAATTGATAATTCTGACGACGAAAGTGTCGATTCCGAAGGTGATACGGACTTATTAAAGCACGCAGGAATCTTACAGATTGAGGAAATTGTAAAGATATCAAAGGAGAAAATGCAGCGATTACAGTCACTATATATTGATCAATTTCAAAGGCTACAGAGAGTTATGAAGGACAAGAGAAAGAATTATTTACAGGCATTAAAGAAAGAAAAGGAAGTTCATTCCAATATCTACGATCAGTACAAAGATTCACCAAGAGAACGAAAGCTTTATGCCAAATTTAAAGCAATGAATCATTATCATCAGCGTAAACACGGTGTTGAGGCTATTTTGTATCGCAAATATCTCGAAAAGCGTCAACAAGCTGAGCAATCACAAGCCAATGTTCCTTTAAATCAACAGAAAAACGTTCCAAAATGTTCATTTACTGACGGCGTCAAGTGCTTAGAACGGCCTTTAGTGCACAATAAATATTGTCGAAAGCACATAATGGAAGATAAGAAGCAAATACTATTCAAGTCATGTGGAATCGATAAATCAAGCATTGTTTGTCAAGAGCCTGTAGTTAATATCTTTGAAGATTCTGCATGCGTTCTACATACAAGCTTATATCAACTTCCAAGAATCTACGTGAAAAAGAAGTATGAATCTGAGACAGAGGAAGAAGATCCATCAATAAAAGAGATTAAGACGGATATTAGTGAAGATATTAAGCCAAAGATTGAGGATATTGGTACTAATGAAGTCGAGAGTGTTCCTGAAGACGAGGATATTAAAATCAATTAATGTTAATTATTTCAAGAATAAAAGAAATTTTTCAAAGTTTATTAAAAGTAAGTTTTGTGTTTTTAAATAGTTTTATAATGAATGTTCTACATCCTGTGCTTCCATAACTTCAAATAGCCATTTCTTTTGAATTCCGAAAAAGAAAACTTATTTTAATGAAAGTTTAATTCCATTTCTTAAGAATTCAACTATCTCAGCTAGCTATCTGGAAGTTTGTTCCACATGTTGTACGAAAAAGTTTCTGTACCTATCAAAGTAAAATTATAATTTAAAGTTGAAAGTTGATAGGAAGGAAAAAGTTTCCTTATTTTCTGAAAAATTGCATTTTACACAGCGATAACACGACATGATAAAGTTTACAGCCAAGATGCTTCAATTACAGGTTTCGAGTTTTAAGTTTATAACAAAATTATCCCACACTTTGTATATATTAAGATTGATTTTGATGGGATTTTGCAGGTAGGAAAGTTTGTAAAACCAATGTTTTAATGGGTGGTCTTTAGAAGTAAAGGATTACAGCTTTCAATCATGTTGATGATGAGTTTTGGAATAGTTTGGATGTTGCGTGACTTTGAAAATTGTTATTTTTGACCTTGAACTCTTGGCATGGAAGCAAATCTGCTTATGAATGGATAAAAGAGATTTCTAGAGACTGTTGCTTTACTCTGTTACTGAATATCCATCATAAAATCGCAAAAAGCTTCCAAAACACTGCTTTTCAGTTAAAAACTCAAAGTGTTCCTTCCCATCAACAAATTTTACAGTTCATAGTTAAACAAACTCTAAGTTTGCCACAAACATAAAGTATATGCACGTCTAAAACACAAAAAAATTGTTGATGTTACTTCCATCATGTGTGTAGCAGCGTTAAAAAGAGTATTTTTACAACTTTGATGTCAACAAACTTTTAAACAAAGTTCCTTGCTGTGATAATATTTCTTTTACTGCATTTTTAAGAGGTTCAATGATGATGATGAGGAATGTATAAAAAATGTAAGTTTATAGTTGACTAGTCAACTAGCAAAATGCAGGGGCGTAGCCAGAAAATTTTTAAGGGGGGGGGCCCATTTTCGAAAATTAAAAAACCTTTATTTTGTATCCTTAAATCTATATTCATTCTTCATAAGTTTAAATATTTAATTCATTATTCATACATTAAATTTAATTTTTCGTGCTGATTTTGACATTTCTTTCATCACTTCCTCTACATTAACTGGTTCTTCTCTATAAATACTTAATAAAACAATTATCAGATTTTCTAAGAGGGGGGGGCCTATGCCCCCCCCCCCCGGCTACGCCCCTGGCAAAATGTATCTGTGTTGATAATAAGTCATGAGACTTGACAAATTCAATATTTGAAGAACTTTTTCGTTCTTTACTGCAGTAAAGGAATCAATTGAAAATATAGCTATTGAGAGTTTATTGTGCTTTATGTTGAGAGTGATTAATGGGCCAAGTTTATGGAAGTTTCAATATATATTTTGTCCAACTTTGTTTATTATCGATATTTTCCAGTCTGGCATCTTTTATAAGTTTATTGAGTTGTAAGTTTACAAGGATAAAAATCTTTTTTGTTGTGTCGGATGAAGCTTAACTTATGGCATGTGACATTCATTAGTCATTGGACTTGATTAACAGTTGAAAACCTTTAACTATTAAGTTATCCAGAGCTACGCTGATGTTTAGTGCAATCTGAAGTATATATATACTTTTGATGACATTTCTAACCAAAGCTCTCGAAGAATATAATCTTTTAAAAACGAAGATTATAATCTTTGATGATTGTCAAAGATTATAAGCTGTGTATGAGATCATTTAAAGATTATAATCTGCGGGAGCCTTGTTTCTAACTGTAACTTACAACATAAGACTTTATGATGCTTATAAGGTACCGGAATACTGTATCGAACATCTTCAAACTGATAGCTTTAACTTAACAACTTCAAGAATGACTTTAATATCTCAAAGCTATCTCAAAACTAGTCAAACTACCTTCTACAGCTCTTAGTCGAATGTCTTTAAGTCTTAACTATTGAATACTCGACTTCTTTTTGTATTGAGCTCTGCTCCATAAATAATATTGAGTATATACGATACTCAAACCTTAAAAATCCAATGAAAAATTCATCCAACTTCTCAAGATAATCTCTTGACATAATAACGTCCACAATAAGAAAGAAAGATGATATACTTAAAGCATACTTTTATCTCCAGTACAAAAAATAATATAAATGAAAAGAAATTCCTCAACAAATAGCGACGATCTCTTTGTTCTGATGAAAAGGAGCAAAAACTTTAATTCAATTTTTATTATTTTTATTTCATCAAAAAGTTTCATTTCTCCTTCTTCTATTGCCAAATATAAAGAAATGGAAACTCAATTAATTTTAATTAAAACTTATTCCTTGGCAATTTTTATTTTATTAAATGAACGACTGCCATTCAGCAAAGGATTGAAGCAAATTCCATAATTTGATAACAAAAAATTTGCGAGAACAAGTCATTAAATACATATTCAACCAGTAGGAAAAAGGATTTGTAATGAGATTAAATGTTTTTCTGATAAAAGACGACAATGAGCTGAACTTCTTTTTTTTTGGTGTGTGCTAAACGGAATTAAATGGTGAATAAAAATTTTATGTTGAATTTTCTTCTTCTTGATGACTTGTTGGATGATAAGAGGATTTGGATTTGTCATTGGCTTTGAATGATAAAAGTCTTGTGGAATTAAAATGCTTTGATGATCAGGAAATGGTTGGAATAGTTGATGTGGCCAGAAAAAGCTTTGTTTGTAAGATTAAGAACATTAAAAGATTTGGGAAATATCAGTTAAGGCAAAGGTTTTAATGTTGAGTCTTAAAGATTTGACGTTCAATCTGATTTTGATGCTTTAGTAATGTTCTATTAAGGAACTAGACATCAAAATCATTTATTTGACTATTAATCTAGTTTATGATGCTTTTAAATGAAATTGAATGATTCTGGGGAAAAATGTCGTAATTGCATTTTGTTCTTTTACTTGTTATAACTCTAAAACTATAGAAGATAACATAGACATATTATATATTGTTGGAATTGACATCCAAAGAGCTATTTAATTATGCTATTTTTGAACCGGTTCAATCGGTTTAAACGGTTCAAAAACTGGTTCAAAGTTGAAAAACTAAGAAATTGAATAACTTTTTCAATACTTAATCAAAGGCTTTGCTTTTCAGCTCGTTTTGTAGCCTTTAAAAATGCTCACAACTTGTTGGAGCTAGATTTTTGATTATCGACCTGTGACGTCATTTATGAGCCATTTATGTCGAAATTTTGAAAGCTTATTTCTCAGCAACTACATATGATACAATAACTATATATACCTTAAAATTTTTCAATTTTCTTAAAAATTAATGAACATTAATAATTTTTGGGATTTGTGAATAAGTTTTGTCAAAAAATGATAAAACCTTAAAACATTAAAATGTTTTGAACACTATTTTCCCTTTATTTGATACTTATCTTTCAAATACGGAAAAAATTCTTATTGCATTAAAAAAGCTTTTAATTTCCTTTAAAATGATATGTAACAAGCTTGGGGTTTATCAGTAAATGACGTCTAAAATTTTTTTATTGTTTTCTAATAATTTTCGTACCTTTTTCCATTTAGTTTTAGTCTTCTATTCCACTTTCCTCTATTTTTTCACATTTTTCATCGAAATAAAAGTAAATATTGCCATTTTATCCAAAAATACTAATGATTTTTTAAATGTGCATTCAACTATTTGTTATTGAAGTTTTGCTACTTAATAAAACATTAGTATTTTTGGATAAAATGGCAATATTTACTTTTATTTCGATGAAAAATGTGAAAAAATAGAGGAAAGTGGAATAGAAGACTAAAACTAAATGGAAAAAGGTACGAAAATCATTAGAAAACAATAAAAAAATTTTAGACGTCATTTACTGATAAACCCCAAGCTTGTTATATATCATTTTAAAGGAAATTAAAAGCTTTTTTAATGCAATAAGAATTTTTTCCGTATTTGAAAGATAAGTATCAAATAAAGGGAAAATAGTGTTCAAAACATTTTAATGTTTTAAGGTTTTATCATTTTTTGACAAAACTTATTCACAAATCCCAAAAATTATTAATGTTCATTAATTTTTAAGAAAATTGAAAAATTTTAAGGTATATATAGTTATTGTATCATATGTAGTTGCTGAGAAATAAGCTTTCAAAATTTCGACATAAATGGCTCATAAATGACGTCACAGGTCGATAATCAAAAATCTAGCTCCAACAAGTTGTGAGCATTTTTAAATGCTACAAAACGAGCTGAAAAGCAAAGCCTTTGATTAAGTATTGAAAAAGTTATTCAATTTCTTAGTTTTTCAACTTTGAACCAGGTTTTGAACCGTTTAAACCGATTGAACCGGTTCAAAAATAGCATAATTAAATAGCTCTTTGGATGTCAATTCCAACAATATATAATATGTCTATGTTATCTTCTATAGTTTTAGAGTTATAACAAGTAAAAGAACAAAATGCAATTACGACATTTTTCCCCAGAATCATTCAATTGAGCATTAAACTTTAACATCAGTTGCCATTAAGTCACTAGTTTGACCTCTTCAATTAAAACCACACCATTCCTTCATCTCCAAGCTGTTACATATAAGCTCTAGCTTTCAAATCACGGAACTCTCACTCAATAAAACTCGGGAATCACTCCAGAATGTCTAAATTTAATGAATAAACAGAGAAACAATTGAAAAGCACAGAACAAACATCGTAATTGCTTGTAAAGTCCCTCTCATCCCCTCTGATTTTAAAAAGTAAGACTCATTTATGATGCAGTGCAGTAATTTTGTGTTTATTCATGTTATATTAACAATAATGCCACTAGCAAACTTTAATTCATGTTCGCATCTACTACATGGTGCTGTTTGTTTATCAAAATAGAACAATCGGAAACACGTTTTTGCAATTACATTTAATTTAACTGCGACTTTAACATAAAACGCAAATGCGCTTAATAGTAAAGCTTACAAATGTTAATT